TCGCCGTGCCCCGGAGCGAAGCAGGCAAAACCCAGCCTCGGCCGCCCAGTCCGGCCGCCGGCCTCCGCGCTTCGCCGGCTCCTCCTTTTGTTTGTCCCTCACTGCACCACTCAGCCTCCTCCGCCCCGGAAGTGACGTCGGGGAGGGCGAGAACGCGGCGCCCAGGGCGTCGCCATGTTTGTAGAGGGAGCTCTGCGCGGCCTCGCCGGACTCTCTCTCTCCAGCGCGCCTGCGTATGGTCGCTTTGGAGACGGGGCTCCGCCCTCTTAAAGGGGTTGAACCGGCTACAGCCTTAAGAGTTCCAGCTAAAGGGCTCCGGTGAGGTTAACCGAGAGGCAGCTGAGTAGAACTGATCCAGAATTAATCCAGGGTGACACCAGGTAGGGCGCCAGTACGGGGAGACTTGTTAGAGGATTCCGACCTTCATTGTTCCAGGGCGTTTGATGCATGGGTGTCGCTGGTGTGCGGAGTGGCTGTCACCGGAGTGAAGTGCCTGCGGGAATGACTGGCTCGCGCTGCCACCTGACCCGGGGAGCAGTCAGCCTGGTCCTCCCTGCACCCAAGATCGCGCTCCTGGAGAAGATGCAGCCCAAAGCAACAGCGAATTTTGGACACCGGGGGGCTGGAATCAAGTCTCTGGACGCCAGCTCAGCACCTCCATGGAGCCTCCTCGGTCCCCGCACTTCTTACACTAACACAAGTAATGGCAATCAGGTTAAAAAAAAATAATCCATACATCGGAAAACTGTACAGCCATTAAAACAAAGAAATGTTCAACGTGCACTAATGCAGAGGACTTCCAAGATACCTTAGGTAGGAAAAGGAAGGCACAAAAAGATCAGCCTTGCAATGTTACTGTTCTTGGGCAGGGTATGTGGGAGTATTTGCCGCGTGGCCCCAGTCGGGAGCATTTCTACATAAATTTGGGGGAAAAATCATTTCATAATTAAAGCATGACTATAGCTGTCTAAGGTCCAGTGTTGCCGTGCCTGAAAGGGGAGAGCAGGCTATGATATGTGGAAACCAAAATGTTAACTCCGTTTTGCATGGGTCACAGCTGAGGCCTCAGTGGTCTGTGAAGGTGTAGTGCTCAACAGGCAAGATAACAACAGCTGAAGACATCCTGGTTCCTTGAGAACCCAGTAGTATACAAAAGAGAAAGGTCTTACCCGGTGAGGGACAAGTCCCTTATCAGCCCAGCTTATCCCATCTACTGAGGTGGGAATGTTCTTTTCATCCTCATCAGCATGAGAAGTCATCCTGTACTCCCTCCAGTTCCTGTGTGTGCCCAACAGATACTGGCTCGCTCTGAGAGTCTTCCGTCTTTGCTCACCCTGAGGCCCTGACCTCCCAGCCCCCATAAACTTTTATGCAAGTGTCTATTCTCTTTTTCTCTTCAGCCTGTGAAGTCTCCCTTTCTAGGCAGGTGGAGGAAAAGGGCTTCCAAGAGGAGACCTGGCACCCTGGCGGTGCACCACTGTGCATGCACTAGGTGGACGTCTGCCAGTGGGCACACGAGCACCGGCTGTCTGGTGAGAGGCACAAGTTGCTAACTGGCTGGGTCACACTGGAAAGAGAGCACTGTCCTGTTGTGGCTAGCACACGGAACAATTGGAACAGACGTGGCACAGACTGGGAAGGACACGAAGAAGCTAAAGGTGATGGCCAGAGCCGTGATATAGCCAAAGACTCTCTGCACCTTTGCAGCTTTGAGACTGCACCTGGCACCCTTCCCTGGTATTTCACGTGTACCCATCTGTAAAATGAACAACCACAACCACAATAGCAGACACGAAGCACCTCCTTCTGTGTCACACTTGGTGCTTTCATGCAGATCAGTCCCATTTACAAAAAGGTAAGTGAAGCAGGCAGACAGAGGTAGAGGAAGTTGTCCAAATGGGTGTCCATAGCCTTACCCTTCTCATGTCTAGGGAAGGGTGCTGGACCCTTCAGACTCTCCCTCAGCTTCCTGGGACCATCAGCGCCCAACCTTTGGGACCTACTGTGTGCTGGGTGAGCTGCCAGAGGCTAAGGGCCTGGTGCAGAACAGGACACACATGCAGCTCCCAACCTGCGAGTCCAGCAAAGGCAGCAAATGAGCCAGCAGTTGACCTCCATGTTGATGGCCTGAAGGGCACACAGAAGGGGACACAGGCCCCGCAGGGGCAGAGTCAGGGAAAGGGTTTCTCAGGAGGTGACTTTATGTGAATGAAGGGGCTGGAGGCTGAAGTAGGGCAGGCTCACAAGCCCAGCCTGAAGGTTGCCAAGGATCCTGGGAAACTGGCACGATTGGAGACTTCAGCCGGAGACCTGCGGTGTGTCTTTAGAGTGGATCGTCCTCTCTCCTACATCCAGTCTCCAGGGGGTGCTGCCACAGCTCTCTCTCCCCTAAGGCCAGCCACACTCAACCTCCAGAACCTCCAAAGGGCAGGCTCTTCATTTTACAATCCAGGTGGGGGCGACAGAGGCTCACAGGAGAGAATTCCACTAAGATGAACCGAGCACGCACTATACCACTTAGGGACAGCCTCATCTGGACTTTGGTCCTGTTTTTATGGGTTTCCCATTCATTATTTTTGCTCACTTTGTTTTTTCCTTATTGAGATGTTGGTCTTTTATTATAGATTTATAAGAATTTTTTGTATGTTATGGCTCACACTATTAAGATGGGCCAGTTACTGCCCTTTTCAAGCACAGCTTTAGGGCAAAGGTCCTATTAGCCCTTAAATACCTGTGGCTAGTATAGGGAATGACACGCAATTGGAGCGCAGTGAAATATTTTCTGAAGAAATAAAGAGGTGTATACCTACTATGTGGCAGGTGGCAGGCTTGTTTTGGGGGGTGCTTTTTTTCTGTGATGGGGTCTTGCTATATAGTTTAGGCTGGCCTTGAACTCGCTATAAAGCCAGGCTGGCCTCGATCTCAAGGTGCTCCTCCTGCTCAGCTTCCCAAGTGCCAGCCTTACAGGCTTTCGCCAGGTATTGCAAATAAAAAAAATGAACACGATTCCCTAACAGATTCCATCTGGAGGGAGAGATGAACGTGCCTATTGAGATTGAAAAATGTTTATTGAAAACCAAACAAAAGCTCAGCATAGTGGCACATGCCCGTGATTTTTTTGTCGTTCCGGGGATCGAACTCAGGACTCTGTGCTTGCAAGGCAGGCGCAGTGCCACTGATCTACATTCCCAGGATCGTTGTGAGTGTGAGGCCCACCTGGACCACATAGTGAGTTCAAGGCCAGATTGAACTACATAGTGAGACCCTGTCTCAATCCCTCCTCCCCACAAACAAAAGAAAACCAAACAAAAATGGCTTATTGAGCAACTTTAAAATTTTTTATGAAACAGCTAGTCTGTGCCAGTGACATAACGCCTATCAGAGCCAGTCTGCAAGGATGAGAACAATGCCAGGACGGTTAGGCATATACCTAGATACGAAACTGTGAAGTCATATATTGAAAACATGATTCTTTCCCCACCGAAATGTCTTGGCACCCATCTCAGATAGCATTTGACCATGAATGTGAGTTTTCTTTCTGGACTGTCAACTCTATTCCATTGATTTATGTATCTGTCCTGAAACTACTCCGATCCTTTCCAGGTTTCAATAGCTTGTACTAAAACTTGACATTGTGCAGTGTGATTCCAATTTTCCTTCTTTTCCAGGCATTCCTGTGTGTGTGTGTGTGTGTGTGTGTGTGTGTGTGTGCACTCACGCGCGCACATGAATCCTTGAAGTTTAAGCCAGAGCCTGGGCCATACTAAGCAAGAACTCCTTCATTAAGCAATGTCACCAACCCCTTTTTAATTTTTGAGACAAAGTCTCACTAAATTGCCTGAACTG